CATCCGTTACCGGCTCTTAACATTGGGGCATTTTCATGAGTACGAGTACGCATAATAATGCCCAGTATGGGAACCATTACCGATACTAGTACCAGTATCACTGCATCCCTAATAAAAATAAGTATTCCTCATTTGGAATGACACACTTGGTTTTGGAAATGAAAAAAGAGGTGAGGGCATCTTATTGCGCTTTCTTGAGGAGAAGGAAGACTCCACGTTTGCATAATCAGCTGCCTTGGACCATGCATCATCCAAAGGCTTTTCTGCTGACAATGTCCCTGGTTAGATGGACGTATCACTTATTTAGAGCAGTGGTCATCAACCTGTGTAACCTCAGGACCCACATTTGTCCTTGGTCATTAAAGGAGAAGTATGGGGTCAGTTCTTTTCCCCATAGTTCTCCTTAGGGTAACGGGAGGACACAAACTAGCGTGCTCCGGTCACCCTAGGCTCAGTATATAGGGAGCTGTAGCTCGTGGTATCCGACAATTATGTCTGGATCCACCCAGCTGCGTGAGTGACAGCTGGTTCTGCCTATCTAGAGGCAGAGCCAGCTGTACCCGCCCCCTCCCCGCTCCGTTCTGCTCTATCGGAGCGGGGAGGGGGGAATCCAGCCCCTCCCCTGTCACGGCTCTCTGCAGTGACAGGATCGAGAAGTGAGCGAGCGCCGGTATGTGTTCGCTCACTTCCCGATCTACTGAGCTGATCTGTGACAGTTTCATTGTCACAGGTCGGCTCAGATTATGAGGCTGAGTGAAAAGCACTCACCTCATAGTTCTCCTTTAAGTCGTGACCCGTGTCGCACTGCTATGGAACTGTGAGTGGGAGGTGTGTTTGGGATGCCATTCAAATGAATGGCAACGTAACACACCTCCCACACCAGAACTCGTGCTAGGTGTGATTGCGTGGTACAGTGACATGGAACTGTGTGATTGTTGCACTGTACTAGTGTGAACGGGCCCTCAAAAACACTGACAGGCACACACAACCACATACACAATCTCACACACTCACAGACACACTCACACACACTCATACATACACACTCCCCCCCAAAAAAATTATTTTTTCTTTAAGATCTCCCTACCTTACAAGAACTGGTTTATTGAGGTGTATTGAAGGTTATTGCTGTGGATCCTACGGACCACATACTCAGTACGGGGTAATGGGTGTCATGAATTACGAGGAGGGCACTAGACATGTGCAAAAAATTTGTTTCGTTTCGGATTTCGTTTATTTCGTATTTCCAAAATCGGGTCCTGTATGTGTTTCGTTTTGAGCTTCAGATTCGGAATTCGGACGAATTTCCTGAAATTTGGGGTTTTGCGCGAACGGACGAACGTTCGTACGCACGTACGTAGCACAATTGGCACAGTTGACATTTCCGGTTGCTGTGCTCCGGTCTTCACTATTAAAGGGACATTAAAATCCTTTCCTTAATTTTGTTTTTACCCTTTAAACGATGACGGCGCACGCACGGGAACATGAAGTAATGTTCGGTTTTTATCTCTACATGCTATGAAATCCTCTTTTTGTAGTCATTATCGTAAATTTCTAATTTCGTTTCCATTAGGATGAAATTCGTACTGAATCCCAAATTCCGAATCTGAAATTTCGGATCCGGAATTTCGGACGCTTTCGGATGAACTCGGATATCCACGAATTTCCGAAATTTCGTCTCGAATTTCTATTCGGAACGAAACGAATCGCACATGTCTAGAGGGCTCGGGACTCTTGTCTTGTGCTACATGTCAGCAGGGGCGTATTTACCGCGAGGCAAACTAGGCGTTTGCCTAGGGCGGCACCCTCCGTCGGGGTGGCTGCTCCGCTGGTGCCGCGGTACGCAAACGCCTAGCGCCGCGGTTCAGAGATAATCAACTGGACACCGCCGCAAGCCGCCCTCCTCGGCCCCGCAAACCGCCGCCCGCGTCCCCGCAAGCCGACGTCCAGGTGTTAGTAAGGTGTTAGTAAGCCGCCGGCCGCGTCCCCGCAAGTCGCCGGCGACTTGCGGGGACGCGGCCGGCGGCTTACGAGCACCCGGACGGCGACTTGCGGGGACGCGGCC